TTATTTGGCATGTGTTATTCACCCATACAGCCATGCCCACCAGACCAGTGAACAGATGCTAAGGTTATGATGAGGGAAGGGGGGCCTTGTTATGCTAATACCTTGGTTCAACCAGCCAATGACAAGGAAGTCCGCCAGAGTTGTGAAGCGATGTGGTACATTGTAAATCATCTTTGGCAGACTTACCTCCAAGTCTGGGTCGAAGGCGGTTCTTACCGTGTCTCTTGCTTGCAAAAATGCCTTTCTGTATATATACTTTGTAAATAGTGTATATATTATTCCTTACTGTTTGGTGAAGGAAATATATGAAAGTGCTACTCACCCCTTGTCTTTTGCTCATTCATCTCTACCTTAGCTTGCTACAGGTGTGCCACAAGGCTACAGGTGTGCAGGCCACAAGGCTACAGGTGTGCAGGCCACAAGGCTACAGGTGTGCAGGCCACAAGGGTACAGGTGTGCATGCCACAAGGCTACACCTGTGTTCGTTATACTGTTCAAACCACATTTATAAGTGGGTGTTTATACAAAAGTTAGCATATGTAAAATTATATAGATAGTAACATCGGATGTTGTTACCTATAATTGTTAAAGGAGGGGTCAGGCAAACCAGCGGAAGGCCTCGGTCAGATGACTAAAAGGTCCCAGTGACGGGTCATGATATGAGACCCGCGGCAGGAAACACTTGTTCCACACATTTTTACTAGACTAGCCTCATGTACATGACCACAGCTACAAAATACATACTGATAATTTCTATGTAGTTTTTGTATCTCAAAAATGCATAAAGTGACTAACTGTGGATTCTAACCTTATTGCATCAGTGACTAACGTCATTTTGTCTGAAAGGAAATTCAATTTCTGTATGAAACTTCACGCCCAAGTCGTCAATAGAGATGTTTCGTCAGATTTCTTGGAGGTGAGATCATGCTAAGCCGTGACCACTCTACTCTCTACCCTGATCAGTGCAGTTGATACACTTGTCGTGACTGATACGCGAGTCGGTCAAGAGAGCTGAACTGCATTGAAAAGTGTGTGTGTATATATATATATATATATATATATATATATATATATATATATATATATATATATATATATATACAAACACTGATCTCAGCTGAAGGAGACTCGAACCTACGAACCTTAGGACAAGGTACGCAGTGCTTTACCAATCTACCCACACTGGACAATACCTTGGCGTGTAGCTTGCGCTACACGTTTGATCCAAGGCAACCAGCTTTCAGGGAGAGGGCAATGTCCTAAGGTTCGTAGGTTCGAGTCTCCTTCAGCCAGAGATCAGTGTCTGTGTATATTTCGCCTGCTCTCGCGAACCTTCAGCCAGAAAATCAGTGTTTGTGTATATTTCGCCTGCTCTCGCGAATTCCTTGCATTGTTAAAATCTCTAGTAAGCTGATGCATGCAGGGGATGAGATGAAAAGCTGTAAGCCTTTTCCCTGAAAGCTGGGTGCCTTGGATCAAACGTGTAGCGCAAGCTACACGCCAAGTATTGTCCAGTGTGGGTAGATTGGTAAAGCACTGCGTAAACCCTTTTCCTAAGGTTCGTAGGTTCGAGTCTCCTTCAGCCAGAGATTAGTGTTTGTGTGGCCTGGTGTTAACGCTCTCGCTTCACACGGTGAGGGCCTGGGTTCGATTCCCAGCCAGTAGTAGAAACATTGGACGTGTTTCTTTCCACCTGTTGTCTATGTTCCCCATCAGTAAAATGGGTACCTGGGTGTTAGTCGACTGGTGTGGGTCGCATCCTGGGACACTGACCTAAGGAGGCCTGGTCACAGACCGGGCCGCGGGGGCGTTGACCCCCGGAACTCTCTCCAGATAAACTTCGCCTGCTCTCGCGAATTCTTTGCACACACACACACACACACACACACATATATATATTCACGTAAACGGAGGTGTTTCATCAGCTGTGTAGTCCTAGGGAAGTATCCTTCGTATATCAGAATCTCAGCCCCTTTTCAAGCAAGATATAAAGTAGCTGTGCTACAAAAAACCCTCGTCCCTTCTAGGCTAGTTCCTGGATGATGGTGAAAGACTCTTGATATCAAAATTGATATAACCCTCCCATTCCATGCATAAAACCTGATTACGTCTCATTCCTCATGATGCTCCCTTCCTTCGCCTTTTGAACAACTCTGCCCCAAAAGGTAGCATAGCTACAACTCTACTCCATAGACCTAGGAGCTATAACTCAACCCTCCCAAGAGGCCCAGGAGCTGAAGAACGACACCTAAAGGTTCATGAGCTTAGCACCAGCAGCTGTAGATCATAACCCTCAGAACTCCCAGGAGCTGGAACTTAACCCAGACAAACACTGAAAACAAGAGACCAATCTGATTAAACTAAGCTTGCCATGTCTTTAGTGTTTCTTGTACTTGCTAACACAAAGAAGACAATGATGATTGTATGGGAGGTTATTCTCGCTGGAAGGTCAGGTTAGGTAAGGTTCGTCAGGAAACAGGAGAAATGTTTCCTGACTGGAATATCAAGAATATCAAGAAAAATTACTGTCTGGTTGTATTAAATTTGGTTGTGGACTGTATATATAGAGGAAAAAATTATTGGACTTAACAATTTTTATATAATTTGTTAGCATCTTATGTACATAACACGATTCCAATAACTATAACATTAAGTTAGATAGTTTCAGTTACACGCGGGAAACATATCTTACCAATTTATGATTTTGATGATATATTCTAACGCCTCCTTATCGATTTCTGTGGAAAAATTTTGATAAATTTTCCTGTAATTTATGTGTAAGAACTGATATAAAAGTGTTTATGTATAGTGTTAGTGTGACTTTGAAAAGATGTTAAGCCACAGAGGAGCCAACACCCTCTATAATTTATTCTTTTTTGATAATAATCAGTTAGGAAAGTAAAATGTAAATGTTGAAAAGAAATTAATATTCGAATACTGACAATGTATTACACACCTGGAAGTGTTACTGAATTAAATGAGATGTATTGTGTACGAAAACATTTTGGGAGAGGAAGCCGGGTAATGGCGTAACGTGTATGTTAGTTTAATCAATGTTGTAATTAATCGGACGTAATCGAAGCTGATACAAATAATACCAGCATAAAATTTTGTACTATGAAATAAGTAATTGTGGAACGCATTGGAATAATACAGATGTATAGTGCAATCGCCATATTAATGCTGATAGAAAATAAGACGCGTGCTAACGGGATGGAGAAGTGATCACCTCATGGATGGTAATAACGTGTTTACGCCTCCCAAAGTGCTTCTCCACACAACAGGTAATGTAATTATTTATTGGCCAGTAATAGTTGCCTACGTATAGGGAGGCGTTAGGACGTAAAGCCCACTGAACATTGGTAAAGTGTCTTAATTTTTATGTACACTCACTTATAATAATTGTATTAATTCTATGTAATATGGCAATAATGTGTATAATCAGTTAAACCATGGACCAGCAAATTACTTAAGATTGTCAGTACAATAATTTTTTCTTTATACACAGTCCACAGCCAAATTTAAATACAGCCAATGTTACTGGCTTGAAATATTTGTTGAATATTTCAAGAACTATAAGTTCGAATAATTAAGTCTCAGATGTTGAGTATTGGGAGGTGAGACGGTGAGCATCGAAGGAGAGACAGTGATGTGACCCACTGTTGCTAAAGTTCCACCTGTCTCCAAAACACAACTACAGCAGTAAGCGTAATCTGTTATAGATGTGCCAGAGTTCTCCTCAGTTATGTGTGTGAAATATTAATTCAGGATTGTACCTGTGAAATTCATCCACATAATTTTTCAGTTTCACTGTGTATCCGAACCCTTCCAGATACACATTAAATTCACTTATTATATAGGACACTGTATTTACCGATACAATTTCTATTGGTCTAGATTAAATGAGATTAATTCTTCCCAAATTCCAGGTCCGCTCTGTGTTACTCAACTATTTTCGTTGTTCTCCTCAACGTTTTTTCTACCAATACATCTTTTCAGTTAATTTAATAACACTTCCAGATGTGTACTACTGTTTCATCATTGAAATATTTATTTCCTCTAAATTACAACATTTACACTTTACTTTTTCAACTCTACAGAATATAAGGAAATAAAGAATATTAGTTCTCATGTCACAAAACATCTTTTAGTCACTAAATATACACAATTTCGGATAAACATTATTATCCCCATCAATTCTTACACACAAACCCCAGGAAAATTATCAAATTTTCCACAATGGGGTTTAAAATGCATATCGACTACACGAGGGTCATTGAGGCTGCATGTCACCTCTTCACCACTAGTGAAGTATACTTTAATTACTGAAATATATATTACAGTCAATTCTCATAAACTTCAAGGTGTATATATCCCGTGCAGATACTGGCTGGCAAGTTAGGTTGTTTTATTCGTCAGGAGACAGAACAAGTGTCTCCTGTCATAGGTCTGAATCATATAGCTGACAAGTTATTGGGCAAGTAATGGTTATATGCTTGTATTGTGTTAAGTCGTCCAAAGTTCTTAAAATTTACTTCCATCACATGTAAAGATCTACTGAAAATGATGTATCTAATATTCAATTATACCGGAGTTTGTTTTATTAGTTATGATTCTATGGGAATTATGGCAGAAATATATTTGCACAACAGAGTCAAAAATATTTTGATCACTTGAGATGAGATTAAAAATTAAACTTTGTGTATATATAATGAAAAATACCTCAAAGTTTATATATCTCGTAACGAAATTCTAAAATGACATTTCTCATTTATTATAAAGCAAAATAGCATTTAATTAAGGAGGTATTTGAAAATCAATAATTTCATTATTCAAAAATATTTATTATATAATATTCAGACAATTCTTCCATAAGCAGTGAAAAATAATTAGTCCCGTAAATATTTACAAATGGAGAAAGTTAAATTAACTCTTCGTTCATAATTAAGCCGAATAATTATACGAGAGACAGTCGAGCGGCAGAAACTTAAAAATACATTTTAAAACTGAGTTCCATACGACGTGGAGGGAGCAATTGGAGCATTGTATCCATTTCTGACTCCATTCCCATTCTTACCATTTGCAACATTGCCGTTCCTACCATTTCCATTGAGTCCATAAAGATTTGCACCATTTAAATTTCTTCGGTTGCCATTGCCATTGTACCTATTACCATTATTATATCTGTTGATATTTCCATTAGTGATTCCATTGGCGATGCCACTGGCAATAGGACCATAACCATAGCCAACACTGGGGACGACACCAATCTGTTCGTTGACAGAGTAGAAGTTCTCAGCCTGAGAACAGTCTACGTTGAACCACCAGTCACACACCAGGTACTGCTGGTTGAAGATGGTACCGTTGGGGCACAGGAATGAGTCCTTCTGACGTCTGAGGGCACGGTCCTGGCAAATGTGGAACACCTGGCAGCTGGCATCAGGAGCGGTGTCAGCGTAATAACCAGGCACTGCCTGGTCATCACAGGAGAAGCCAGTATCTGGTGGAGAAGACAAGACTGGGTAGTCTTCACCAGGGACGCCACCTCCGGGGATGTTTTCCTGCAAAGCAACCAGCTCCGGATCTAGTCCATAAGAACCTGTTGGGGGACCATACCTGTTACTTGGGGGAGCTCCATATCCATTACGTGGGGGAGCTCCATATCCATTGCTTGGAGCAGCTGCGAACCCATTGCCGAAGCCATTGCTTCTTGGAGGTGTGTAAAAATTGTTCAGGGCTCCATTTGAGGCACCAAACGCATTGCTTCCTGGAGGTGTGTAACCATTGCTCGGGGCTCCATTTGAAGCACCATACCCATTGCTTCCTGGAGATGTGTAACCATTATTCGAGGCACCATTTGAAGCACCATATCCATTGCTTCCTGGAGGTGTGTAACCATTGCTCGGGGCTCCATTTGAAGCACCATACCCATTGCTTCCTGGAGGTGTGTAACCATTGCTCGGGGCTCCATTTGATGCACCATACCCATTGCTTTCTGGAGGTGTGTAACCATTACTCGGGGCTCCATTTGAGACTCCAAATCCATTGCTTCCTGGAGGTGTGTAACCATTGCTCGGGGCTTCATTTGATGCACCATACCCATTGCTTCCTGGAGGTGTGTAACCATTGCTCGGGGCTCCATTTGAGACTCCAAATCCATTGCTTCCTGCAGGTGTGTAACCATTGCTCGGGGCTTCATTTGATGCACCATACCCATTGCTTCCTGGAGGTGTGTAACCATTGTTCGGGGCTCCATTTGAGACTCCATATCCATTGCTTCCTGGAGGTATGTAACCATTGCTCGGGGCTCCATTTGATGCACCATACCCATTGCTTCCTGGAGTGTGTAACCATTGCTCGGGGCTCCATTTGAGGCACCGAGCCCATTACGGAAACCTCCATTTGGAGCTCCATAATTTGTGGGAGGACGTTTGTCAGCGGTGGTTAGAACCAGAAGAGCTGAAGAAGAGGAAAATATTAGATGCAACATTAATAACAGAGTATATTAAACATCATCTTCATACTGGAAGTCAGACTGTATTTACCAAAGAACAGGAGAACCCTCATGATTGCCGTCTAGCAGAAAGGTGAATTACAAAGAGACGTATGGATCTTAAATAAGCGTGATGCTGGAGTATGAGTTAGTGTTGCTTTTATACACAGGCTCTCAGCAAGCTCCTCCCACCCACCTTGCTCTCTTTTTCTACCTTGCACACCCATCTCCCTCTCCCTCTCTCTTTTTTTTTTTTTTTTTTTTTTTTTATTCGCCGGTATTCTCCCGGCCCGTGTCTTTTCCAAGTAGTGGTGACCCGGCCTTGGCTCCCTATCTGGGGAGTGTCTCGAGACTTAAGTCTCCCATGGGAGGAGGTACAAGTACCTCCTCATCTTTGGGACCAAGTGTCCCCAGGCCTAGCCACATTCCCCGCCCTCACGGGGCTCGTAGGGAGAAGCTAGGCCTCTGGTCTGCCATCTGCCCCGCCCCAAAGGGGCTCGTGGGGATGGCAGTCTTGTGAGCTGCAGGTGGTAGCAAGCTCAGGCCTTCCTCTCCCTCTCACTCATGAGTGATATTTTAGGTCATTAATTATTTATAAGTTCGTTACCATGCAGGAGATATATCATTAACGAGTTGATAATCTAATATATATTAATGGTAAAAATAGCGTTGATTAAAAAAACTGAAGAAATTTTAACATAAACATTAGAAATGTATAGTTTATTTATAATATATTTTGCAAAATCTAACAAAACCCCAACTGATGGAAGAGGAATTTTTGAATGAAAAATTAATGCATAATGTGCAACTTAAAATCTAAAAAGGATTTCAGTGGTCTTCAAAGTAGTACCCTTCCTCACTTACCATAGTTAACAAGCTAGATATAATAAGTCACAAGAAGAGGAGCTGAAAGTAGTTTTACCGCCGTCATCTGCGGGAGTTCTATCAGAAGGACTCAACCAGAGCTGCCCAAAAGATCCAGAAAATATAGCAGCAACCGGCCGGCACATATTCTTTTGAAACAAGACTTCCTCACCGAGTTACGGACCAAAGACACAAGATCTACTATGTTATAGACCAAGGGACACAAGACTTGCTGTGCTATGGACCAAGGGACGCAAAACCTACTGTTTTATGGACCAAGGGACATGAGGCCTGCTGTGTTATAGACCAAGGGACACAAGATCTACTGTGTTATGGACCAAGGGACACAAGACCTGCTATATTATGGACCAAGGGACACAAGACCTAATGAGTTATGGACCAAGGGACACGAGACTTACTGTGTTATGGACCAAAGGACACGAGACCTGTTATGTTATGGATCAAGGGACACGAGACCTACTGTGTTATGGATCAAGGGAAATAAGACCTGCTGTGTTATGGATCATGGATCAAGGGACACAAGAGCTACTGTGTTGTGAACCAAGGGACACGAAACCTGCTGTGTTATGGACCAAGGGTTACAAGATCTGTTGTGTTATGGACCAAGGGACACAAAACCTACTGTGGTATGGACCAAGGGACACAAGACCTGCTGTGTTATAGATCAAGGTACACAAGACCTACTGTGTTATGGACCAAGGGACACGAGACCTACTATGTTATGGACCAAGGGACACAAGACCTACTGTGTTATGGATCAAGGGACACGAGACCTACTGTGTTATAGATCAAGGGACACGAGACCTACTGTGTTATGGACGAAGGAACACGAGACCTGCTGTGTTATGGACCAAGGGACACGAGTCCTACTATGTTATGGACCAAGGACACTAGACCTACTGTGTTATGGTCCAAGGGACACAAGACCTTTTGTGTTAATGGACCAAGGACACGAGACCTACTGTGTTATGGACCAAGGGGCACAGGCCTACTGTGTTATGGACCAAGGGACATGAGACCTACTGTGTATGGACCAAGGACACGAGACCTACTTTTTTATGGACCAAGGGACACGAAACCTACTGTTTATGGGCCAAGAGA